GTTACATTCATGTATATAGAATTATAGAATTTTGTGATTATGATTATCATATTGTTTATTAAAAGTGTATCTTCTATATTTGAGGATTACCCATTCGAGTATTTTGAAAAGACCAGAAATCTACATCTACTTCTGGAACTGTACAACATTTATTTATGATGATATTTCCAAACATTTGTGTAATGGTCTTACACTCATAAAACAAGTGTTCTGTTGTTTCAGTGTTTCTTTTGCAAATACAATAATTCTCTACCATTAATTGAAGGAAATTAGCATTATTTCCTTAGATTTTAGAATTAGAAGCAAATCTTATTATGCCAACTAATCTTTAATATTGTTTTAAAATAATGTTTTTGTTTTAAAATAATGTTTATTACTTTACTGAATTTTTATAATTCTGATCAACTATTTACTGAGTAGAAACTAAATTCAATTAAAAAAATAAATAAATAAAAATAAAATATAATGAAAGCCTACCCAGATAGAAAAACTGCCTCTAAGATTTCAGGATGTATTGAGGAATAAAGGCTGACCACCTTTATGATACCAAATATTAATTTCAAGCTCATTCTAATTTTACTAAATCTGTTTTTGCCTTATTTACTGTATGTATGTTTGTATACGTTTTAAACAATTACTGCACCTGTTTTCCATTTTTCCTAGCAAGATATAATTACATGGGGTTTGGCTCGAGACTTTTGAACAATACTGTATTTAATGTAATCAGTGTTGTAGCTGCATTTCTTTTTATTTGTGGAAGCTTTCATTTTATTTTACATTGACTGTGACTTTGCAGTGACTTAAATCTTCAGGAGACTCATGACGACAGCTTTTCGTCACACACACGCAATGAAAACCACTGAGAAAAGAGTCTGCGTGCCAATCAAAATGTCCCACATAAAGAGGGACGCAACTTTTAAACACCTTGAGACATTTTTAACCGGTTCTACAAAAATTAAACCGTTTTTCCTTTTAAAAAAGGAATTTTTAAAATTTAGGAAAAAAATGTCTCCTATCCTTAATAGAAAGGAAATAACCCTCCAAGGTCAATGGAAACAAAAACATCATTACATCAATTTTTAAAAAATAAATAAATACACAATATAGCAATTAAATGTATCATTAGTTAATTAAATGGAAAAACAATAGTAGATATTTTAATTATGTCATGGTTCATGTGTTGCTGTCCATCTTGAAATAATTGAAACTTTCACTGCGGCTGATCAACAGACCATAACCTGGTTAATCTAATCAATTAATAAAACATTTAATCATTATTTGATGTATTTAGTGATGTCATTTTTGCACTCTCGTCGCTCCACAGCGGTGGTCTCACCGCCGAGGACAGAAAAGGTGTCCGCGCAGATGCCTGTTCGAAACACAGCAGAGGGCAATAAATGTTGTGAGGAATCATTTGAGTGTCCCGTTTCAATCTGTATCTTCTCCGATGACGTATTCATGGATGAAGTCGGACAGAAACGTAAGCGGCGTGATTGTGAAAGGTGGTCGGCGGTGATCGACTCTGCCCAGGCCCGGTTTCAGCTCCGCCGAGCCTGCAGTTTATTTTAAAGAAGAGAGCAAATACACGGACAGCATCATGAACGAGGTGGATTATCTCCATCAGCTGAATGCCGACAGTCTGGCTGAGGAGAAGCCCGAGATTACACGGCAGCAGGATGCTGAAACGAGCCAAAGCGCCGGTGAGAATAAAAACACATTTAATGTTTGATCGGGTTAACTGTTAGCTCGCTGTGGGGTTTGTGAAAAGGTGTTTTACATCGGAAACATCGGTTTTCGTTGATCTGTATAAGTGCCCAAAAATAAACACATAAATAAAATCTCAGAGCTTTTTATTTCATCCGTGGATCTCAAATGTGAATATTAACGTTTAATAGAATTATTGTGGCGGATTTTTTTAAACGGCGGAACTTAAAGTTGAGGGTAAAGTGCGGCGTCCGGACGATTTGCCAGCGCGCACACAAGAGTTGTCTTTGCAGTTCGACCGTTTTTAAATGCTCATTAAGCATTAATAACGTGTTAATTGGGTAAGGTCCTGTATATTGCAGCTAATCGTTCATATAGAGCATCATTAAAATCGCGTGTACTGGTGAAAGTAAAGCGCTTTCGGCTGCGTTTAAAACAGAAATCTGAACATAAGTTGCTCTGGACCAGAGTATGCAAACATCACGAGATGAGAAATGCTTTATTTGTCCCGTATTTAAGAAATGTTTTTGTTCTCAGCAGTTAAAATAATGATGAAATCTACTATTAATAATAATACCAATAAGCAGAGTTAGCTTTCCCATCGTCTGGTCTGCACCTTCCTCACTCTGCTAAATAATTTTACATCCCTGGTGGGGATCAAATTTTACCCCCCTCTCTGTAGAGATCATCCTGCGTGGTGATCAGAGTGTTCTCTAAATAAAAGAGAAATAAGGCAAATTCAGACCATCAGGAAACTCAGAAATCCCGTGTGCCAGACACTTTCTAGAGCGGTAACATCAGTCCTTACAGGGTGACGTGAGGTTGGTTGTTTCATCTTGTTGGAGTGCAGCTTTCCAGAAATCACACATGCAGTTTCTTAATGTTGCATCATGGTGCAGTTGCTGCAATAAGCTGACAGAGAGGAGCAGACACAATCCTGTGTAAGAATAGCATTTAATTGTTAATTGTTAGTGTTAGTAACAAACAGAGTGCTCACAGTGAAAGATTGAACTGGTCATTGTGCGGAATCTAAAACTGACCTCACAGCTCCAGCAACAAAATAAGAAACACTTTTAATCCATTATTGTAAAAGTGGAAAGTAGCAGATGAGCCTGCCGCTCGTCCACACTGCTCCACCTCGGTCTGCAGGTCCTCACCGCTTGTTTCATATCAAATGTTGGTGCTATGGCACGGCTGGCCAACGTGGCACTAAGTGGAAGAGGGATTTTAGTCTTCCATTTATTGTTACATTTGATTGGATCACCTTTGTTTGAAGAGGAAAACATGAGACAGAGAATATTAAGCTGTTAATTTCTTTAAAAATACACTTCAGTATTTTTGTAAAAGCTCTGCTTATGTTTCACAATTTCACAATAATGCTACAAACCTTACACTAACAGTGATAATAATCACTAATTATAATTATAATCACTAATAATAAATGATCCGTCAGGCTTCAGAGTGTGAAGGATTCCTATGGTCACAACTCGCACCTTGAGAATAATCATGCATACATTCATAATGCAATTTGTATCTGGCAAATGCCTTTTAGTCAGACACATGTATTGTATTATAAAGGGTGATATGATGTGGTATGAAAGATTTTCTATATTAGTCCTGCTTGGAGCTGAACCAGCCTGTTAAAGAAGATGCTCCACTACATGTCCTTTCAGTGGTGCAGAGGGTCGTCAGGACTATCCATGATGGATAACCATTTGTCCGTGACGTCCGCTTCACCACAGTCTCAAGTGTCCACAGACTCAGCCTTCACAATACACTTTGATATCTTTAAAACATGATTGGATTTGGGAATTTGGGATTTAAAAGGCTAGTCAGTGCAGAGAAGCTAATCCTTTCTTTAAAGGATGAAGATGAAGAGTGCAGGAGGGGG